TTGTACGAACAAAAGTAAGAGAAATTTAGGATAAGAATACGAACATGTTCTTGCATGAGGCCCAATGAGTTGTGTTTCATATCTCATATTCGTGTTCTTCACACAAACTGTAGCTCACTTGATGCACCTTTCATTAAAACAAAGTTGCAATTATGTCCCATCTTTACTTATGAATGATGCCCATGCACCACTCAAAATATCCCATCTGAGTCCAGATAGTAGCTATGTTTACATGGGCATGAGTAATCGGATTAAACGGCCATTCGGAATGAAAATRCATCATGTAAACACCCCATTCGGATTATTCTGACCCGATTCAGCTCGATCTGAATGAATTTATAATCGGAATGAGAGAGGTGATTTATGCTGATTGATAATCTGAACAACATGCATGTAAACACTTAATCATCTTATTCTGATTGTGGAAAACTGACCAGACTGTGCATGTCTGCTGACTTTCATCCACCAGTTTCTGCTCTTTTGTGGAGGGAGGGTCAGCAGCGTCAGCACAGAACTTTTCCTCCAGTTTTCTCATTCAATAAAGAAGGAAGACACACAGGCTGCACCGCTTCGCAAAAAAAATAAAGTCTGCACGTCACCTGCAGCTCAACCAGAGACTATAGTAACATCTCCACTATTTTTAAAACCAGTCGCAGGTCCATTCAGAGCGCTCAGAATCTGTTTGTTTATGTTCATGATGAAAGTAGAACTATTTTCTATGGTATTTTTGTTTGTTTGTTTGTTTTAGGGATAGTTAGCAATGCACATGTCAGTGCTTTTATTCAGAATAAAAGCCTGGTGCATGTAAACACTCGTCATGATCGGATTGTGTCCATCTAAACAATACATTCCAATTATTTAATACAAATACATTTAAATCCGATTAAAAAATTTTGCGCATGCAAACATAGCTACTGTCACAAGTTGAAAAAAGGCATGCTGAAAAAAAGATTTTCTCAGGACATCCACACAGCCACCCTTTGTTTCAGAAAAGCTTTTGTCTCAGCTGTGGTGCGGCTCTTATTTACCAGCTGCTTCGAAGTCCAGTTTAGAAAATACTTTGAGCTTTAAAATATAAAATCCTCCATTCTAAAAGTCCAATTTGTCAAGAGAGAAAACAAATGGATATCTGCTGCACTTGAAGTTCTGCCTCAAGTGGAGGAGTTCAAGTATCTTGGGGTCTTGTCCACGAGTGAGGGAAGATTGGAGTGTGAGGCTAYGTTCACACTGCAGGCAAATCCGACCCAAATCCGATTTTTTTGACCCATCTGACTCATATCAGATTTTTTTTATGACAGTCTGAACGTGACAAATCCGATTTTTTCAAATCCGACCCAGGCCGTTTCAGTATGTGGTTTTAAATC